TCTATTCTATTCTATTCTATTCTATTCTATTCTATTCTATTCTATTCATTACCATATTTTTCTGGCAGAATGCCGAACAATATTTCTGCTTTCATGTTTATATGCTGTTTTATCATTTTTTTTTCCCAGCCAGGTATGTATTTTCGTCCAATATTTTTTTGGCTTTTGGGCACGTCCACCATGTATGGTAATATGAATCAGGTGTCTGATTACATTTCCATAATTTCTATTGGGGGGGGGCTGTTAAGGCACCCACTTGAACCCTAAAACTTTTGAATCCGGTCTTAGTTATATCCTGGTTTTCCCCACATTGCATTTGCCATCTGGATGCCTCTCTAAGAACCACATTGGAGCTGCCCGTCTTCCTTTTCAATCTGGAAGGAGAATGAGAGAAAAAAAAATCCCAACTTTGATAACGTAGAAACAACTGGCCGCTGTAACCCGTGAAATAAATGCTTTATAATGGCTAGTACTCCACAAGGACTCGTCTAGTTTAATTGGGCTAATTGCAGTGAAATTTAGAGAATTAAAATTCCCCAAACCAAACAACAAAGGTTAATGGTACAATGCTTTATATGATGGGTAAAAAAAAAAATGAATGAGAGGCCAACACGCGAATTTGCTGATGGATCTCAGAAATGTGAGGCTGGATTGGTGGGGTTACGGGATTCCTGGAATCGGTTTTAAACTTCCGGGTCATAAAAGGGTTCTAAGCAGTGGTGGGATTCAAAGTTTTTTTACTGCCGGTTCTGTGGGCGTGGCATTGCTTGGTGGGAGTTGCTTGGTAGGTGTGGCAGGGGAAGGTTACTGCAAAATCCCATTCCCATTCAATCATGAAATAAGCTGATTTTATGACTTTTTTTGCCATGGTCATTAAGCAAATCACATGGTCATTAAGTGAATCTGGCTTCAACTGTTGACTTTGCATGCTTGGAATCCAGCTGGGAAGGTCACATGACCTCAGGATACGGCAAGCTTTGTAAATGCATGCCAGTTGCCAACACCCAAGTGTTGCTATTTTAATTCCGGGGACACAGCTACCTTCATAAGAGCAACGATCGGTGGCAAGTCCCTTGTTCTAGCACCAATTGTAACTTCCTACAGCTGCTGAACAAATGGTCATAAGTCAAGGACTACCCTTACAGGTTGTACCTTTAACTATAGCTACCTTATTTTTCAGGAATAAAATCACTTTGCAATGACAAGACGTGCCTTCTTGATTTCAGGTAGCTATGCCATGGGGGAACTGGTAAGAAATTTGCCTAGCCGGCAACAGCGATCTTCAAAAAACCTTGAAGAAGACACAATAGTTGCTGTCCTAAACACCATCCACGAAATTATTACTGACAGTTCTGAAAATGCCAGGTCCCTGATCCAGACGCAAGGCATTCAAAAGTTGGTTGCTATCAGCAAATCCAGGTTAGCATCTGCAAAAAAAAAAAAAAATTCCAGTAATGTACAAAAATATCAAGACAGGATGACTTTTAATCCCATCATCTACTCTACAACTTCCTAGTCTCAGGCACTTGATGTTGTGTTGACTTCAACTCCTAGAATTCTTAGCAAGAGCTGTCTGCCTGGAGGATTCTGGGAGTCGAAGTCCATACCTAAAAAAAGTGACTTCCGATAGTCTTCCCAACAGGGATAAGTACAATTATAGTTTAACCGCTCTCTTTATAGGGGCGCGGTGGCTCCGTGGCTTAATGATGCTAGAGATGGTCTCCGCTCTGGCAGTTCGAAGCCCAACGTCTCTGACTGAGTTGCAACATTGCGAGGTTGTAAGATGGACGGTCCTTGAAACAGGAAACCCCAAATCTCACCCGTCTTTTGCATTTCAAGAAGCGAGGGCCCTCTCGTCTTTCAGACGAGGACTTAAAACAGATGCCATCGCCACGCATCTTTAAATCTGCCATAAGCTAGAGTGGACACGGAGGCAAAATCAATCCGATGAAACCCATCCATCAATCCCGGAACAAAATCCCCTGTTTCAGCATCGAGCGTGCATGCATCAAGCCTCGTCCTTTAAGAAGTTCCAGACATTTGTTGTCAAAAGGGGAGATGCTTGTCCTTTGTGAATATTCAGAGATGTGGAAAGCAGAGAGGAGATTGTTAATAAAATATAGGGGCTGATGTGCAGGCGCTGGAAGAATCTGAAAAAAAAAATTCCTTTTTTGGATTCCAACATCTCTGTTCTATTATTTACTAACCAGCTCGGTACTCATGCTTCGCTACGAGACTATGTGGTCGGGCTTAGTTTTTGGAGAGGAAAATAAGGGAGGGGGAGAATTCTGCCTCTGCCTACCAGCATCCATCAGTATTCATCTGGCTAGCATCCAGTCAGTGTGTGAGAGAGTTGAGGGCTGTTTGGAAACTGAAACAATATTTGCTGTGTAAGCAAGAAGGAGACAGCAAGGAGCCTGGGCGTGGCTTAGCTCAACTGTTCTGTCCTAAAGCTGCTTGGTGCTGTGAAACTGAAACTCCTCTTCTTGTGTTTTGCATTTGGAAGAGATTTCTTTTCAGGCAGGGAGGGGGAGTAGAACTCCTTAGCATCTGAGCGTGTTAATAATAATAATATAGGAAATACTCTAAATGCTCTGATGGTCATTTAAAAAAAAATCCTTTCTTAGTGAGCACCTAAAAGCCAAGAGGAACATACGTGTCCAATTTCAAGTTTGTAGGCTTTAAGGTTCTGGTGATTTTGTGATGATCCCTGAGTGGTATTTTGCTTATATATATATAGATTTGAATGTGGCAGCCCAATTCATAGCAATGACTCAAGGAAATCATTAGAGAAAAGAGGTGTGTGTGTTTGTGTTTTAGCCTGACATAAAGACTGTCTTTCTAGGGCAGTGAAGACGAATCTATGACACATATGTCAAAGACGACACAACACAATATTTAGGGTGACACTCCACTATTCATCAACGTCTAACAACTGTTGTCAAAAGGACACTGTTCTTGCATGAAGGCTGTGGGGACCCCACACAAGAATGGGATGTGGTCTTGCACAGCCTGCAGACACACACACACACACACACACACCCCGGGAAGTCGCACAAGGCGGCACAACTTCTTTGCAATGATTTTACAGATATGTTAAGAGACAGTTCTTCTGCATTTGATGTTTGTTGGCTTTCTTTCTATGTCTATGTATTTCCCTCTCCCCGCCTCTTCAAAATCAGCCAGTCCTCCAGAGAAATGAAAGCAGCTTCTCACGTTCTTCAAATGACTTGGAGCTACAAAGAGTTAAGGAATGTTTTGCAGAAGGAAGGCTGGAATAAATCTCATTTCCAGGTAAGGAAGCCCATGCAGTTTGTAGCTGAGAACTGCTAGCAAGAGCTGAGAACTGGTTTGATCCGGTGTTTAAGGCACCAAGCGAGAAAGCAGGAGATTGTGAGTTCAAGTCCCACCTTAGACCTGAAACCCAGCTGGTTGACTTTGGGCCAATCACTGGGTGATAGTCAGTTCTAGTTCCACCTTCGCCATGAAACCCAACGGGTTGACTTTGGGCCAATCACCAGGTGATAGTGAGTTCTAGTTCCATTTTAGCCATGAAACTCAACTGGTTGACTTTGGGCCAATCATCTTATGATAGTGAGTTCTAGTTTCACCTTAGTTAAGCATGAAAGCTGACAGATGATTTTGGGCCAATCATTCTCTCTCAAGCCAACCCACCTCACAGGGTGGCGGTTATGGGGAAAATAAAAGGAGGAAGGTTGAGTTATTTGTAAAAAAAAACAATGCAGGTGGGATTCAACAAAAAATAAATAAATAAGAAAGAACAGATAGGAATTTAGCTCACGATGCCCCCTGCAACATAGACATTCTTTCACGTCGGCAAATAAAGACAGATTGCTATATTGCAAAATTGTCAGGTTCCAAGAAATGCAGCCATCATAAAATGAACTCCGGGGCATTTCACTTCCTCAAAGAACAAGCTTATTGATACACACCATCTTGGCACTAACGAGTGGAAAGTCGGTACTGAAAATTTCTGGGCTTTCCACGTCAATGTAACTAGGATGTTCTCAATTTTCCAAAACAATCTGTCACATTGTCCAACCGGGATGTGGAACAGTTGCCTGACAACTTCGCTTCTCCATCCTCTGGCCAGGCAGCTGTCGGAATGCAACTGACTCATCATCCAGCTGTGTTGTTTTGGCTGGAACTCCATCCACCTCAGCTCTCCCCACTTTCAGCTCCCAACTGTGAATTCATATGAATAACCCAGATATAAAACCCATCTACCATCTCACCAAATTCAGGCTTGACAGGCTGCCCCCCTTAACTGGAGGAAATAATTTTGCAAAGATTCATTTCCCACCTGAAGGAGATCCAGATCCATCAAGATCATTGGACTAGATAAAAGTATATCATTCTGTATTCTCAGGTGTAGGGGAAACCCTATCATGTCATAGGGACACCAGGTATAAGTAGTCGGGCAGGGGGAGAGGGTTGTTGTTGGGTTTTTTTTTTTTGGAAACGGCGTATTTCACAATTGGTTTTCCACATGGATTTTGCTTTCTGCTCTGTCGTATGCCAACTGCTGATAATCGCCCTTTGCTTTTAACGCTCCAGACTGCCTCAGCAACTACGAAAGGATCCAAAAGTACCTCTTGTAAATCTGCATATGACGACAGCACGTTGCCCCTGGTGGATAAAAGCCAAGGTCCGTTTGTGCTCCTTTCCAAGAGCTTCATTATGACTGGCTCCAAGTGAAATGAGGTTTTACTTATTTCATTGCATTTCGATGCCGCCTTAGGGGGCAATGCGTTCTAGGCCATTCCCTAAATCAGCGGTCCCCAAATTTTGCGGCTTGGCAGCCTGGCTGGGGCGGGGGAGAGGGGAAGAGAGGAACCAGGCCACCTGAGCAGTGGGCCCGCACACACATTCATGCACACGCAGCTCAACTAGTTGAGTTGTATATGCGTGTGTATGTGCGCCGGCCTTCCACTAGCGTGAGTTGAGCTGCGTGTGCAAGACAAGCTATGCACATGTGTGCATGCCAGCCTGTTGTTTGTCTGGCCTAGATGCAAATAGATCATGGTAGTGGGCTGAGGGTTGGGGACCCTTACCCTAAAATCATAAAAATGAGGGTGGGATCTCATAGCCAGTGGCAATAGAAAGGCAAAAATAAATCCACAGCAGTGGAAACATCCATTAGCACTGATGATGTTACCTAGTTTGGGTAATGAAACATCTGCAAGAAAAGCTCAGAGTGCACAAAAATCCTCAGAGTTCCTTCCTCCTCCTCCTCCTCCTCCTCCTCCTCCTCCTCCTCCCTCTTCCCTGCAAACTCTGCACCCTTCTAGGTTTCAAGTCTGATTGATCGTTTGTTAACTTCCACTGGGCAAAACAATGCATCGTAGCATGTTGGCTGAGTAGTTCCGGGAGTTGAAGCTCAGACTTCTTAAAGCATGCTGTCTTAAGAATTCTGGGTGTTGAAGTCCACCCATCTTAAAGCATGCTAGCTGGGAAACTCTGGGAGTTGAAGCCCAGACCTCTTAAAGCCTGCTGCCTGAATTCTGGGTGTTGAAGTCCACCCATCTTAAAGTGGCCAAGTTTTGAAAGCGCTGGCTCAGGCATTGGTTTAAGGTCTCCCCCTTGGCTTAGAGAATTCTGTGTTCTTCAAGAATGATGTCCTGGACTTGGATCCCTCACAAACCGAGTTCCATTTCTTCCTTTTTATAGATAATGAGAAGACTGGAAGCCGGGATATGATTCCAATGGATGAGCTTGGGCCAGGTAACTGCTCTAGTCCCCTCCTTCCAAACACCTGCAGAAATGTCCTTGCTTCCCAAGAGACAGTGTTTTGCTTTGACTACTATACCCCAACTATCTCTATTCCTCCCTCCCTATCCCTCGGCTCCAATGTGTCAGCACTGAAGTCTCAAAATGGCCTGAGACAGGCCAGCTTCAGGGTTGACATTGCTACTATAATCAACCCTATCACTCATTCTGGAGTGTCACATATTTTACTCAGCAGAATAGCTGTCATCCTTCTCCAATTTAAGTCTTTTCAGTGGTAGTCACAGTAGCAGAACCTTGCCAGTCTGACTATGCTTAACTATGCCTTCACCCCTTATACTCACGTGAATAAAGAAGGTGTCTGTCTGAGTCTCTTGTGCATGCCTTCTTGTTTGCAGCTTGAGAGAGACACACACACAGAGAGACATGCAGAGACAGAGACAGAGAGGCAGACAGACAGAGACAGAGAGAAACAGAGACAGACAGAGAGGCAGAGACAGAGAGGCAGAGAGAGAAACAGAGACAGAGACAGACACAGAGACAGAGACAGAGAGGCAGAGAAAGAAATAGAGACAGAGAGAAACAGAGACAGAGAGAAACAGAGACAGAGAGAAATAGAGACAGACAGAGAGACAGAGACGGAGAGATGGAGACAGAGAGACAGTCCGAGACAGTTCTCCATGGTCATGTGATCAAAATTCGGGCGCTTGGCAACTGGCTCGTGTTTATGGTGGTTGCAATGTCCCAGGGTCCTGTGACCTTCTGACAAGCCAAGTCAATGGGGAAGCCAGGTTCACTTAACAACCGTGCTGCTATTTAACAATTGCCATGATTCACTTAGCAACTCTTGGCAAGAAAGGCCGTAAAGCGGGCCAAAACTCACTCAACAAACGGAGCTCACTTCACAAGCAACCTAAATTTTGGGCTCCACTGTGGTCGTAACTCGAGCGTAACGACCTGTGCTCATGATTGATGCTTCATGTCTGGGCAACCTTTAAAGGTTGACAGGTATTGACCGAGTTCTCTTTCCAACCAGTGTCTGTTCTTCACAGATGGCTACTCCACCATCGATCACCGGGATAAGGAGCGGAAATACAAAACCAATGACAATATGGGAGACGCATCAGAGAAAGAACCCCTAAAGGTGAGCAGCTCTGTTCTGACCCAGTTCCCCAAACACGACAAACCCTCTGGTGTCAAATCAATAATTCCTTTATTAGGAGAGCCAGCAACCCCAGCCGAAAGTTTCTCTCTCACCGCAGGCTAACAAGACTGTCCATCCAGGAGATAAATAGTTTTTTTGTCACATCTATTCATCTCCACCCCCTGCCTTTAATCCCCAGAGCAGGGGTGGGGCTTCGCTAGCAGCGGTGGCTCTTCCGTCCCAAGGACCGTCCCATAGATTTCCACTGCTCTCCTCTCCTCTGTGCATCCACACATCAGGCACTGGACCCCGCTGTTCCTCCTCTTCCTCATCAGCCACCTCCAGACCTGGGGGCTGTTGACTCTCCATCTGAGGGCTGACAGAAGGCCCAGGCACTGCCTCTGTCTCTCTCTCTCTCTCTCTGCCAGTTCCATTCTCTCTTCCCCCTCAGAGCTCTCAGGTTGCCTTGATGCTTAACCCTGATTCTCACACCTCCTCCTCCTTCTCCTCCTCCTCCTCTGATTTGGTTGCTGGATGGGCTGGCAGTCAATAGGCCACAACATGGAGACTGTTTCCTTGCAACGCTGCCTTTCGATCTGCCCCACATTTGCAGAAGGGAGCAAGGCAGAGCGTGTGTGCCTGCTTCCAGGCGACCGCCACTATGAGTTGCAATGACATTGGAGAGGAAGACATTCCCTAGAGCTCTTCACAACACACTTCTGACAATTGCAGGGTTGCAATGGAGGCATTGTCCCTTGTAAGACAGACCCCCCCCCCAAAAAAAGCAAGCTCTTTTTAAAAAATATATATATTATTGCTTTGTTCAAACGAAAATACAAAGTACAAAACTCAGGCCTGGGGGAAGGAAACCAAGAAGACAAAAAAGAAAACAACACACAAAACAAAGCATTAAAAAGGTACACAAAACACACAGACACACAAACATTATATACCTATTATTCCATCAAATTGAATACTGATTAATATCTTACTACAACATTAGTTCCCACCCCGTTGCCAAACAAGCCTTCTCAAATATTTCAAAACGACTAAATCTATTTGCAACTTGTTGACTTGTCTTCTCCGTGTTGTATCAGGGACCAAGCAGTGAACTGGAAGAACGTTAACGGGGTTAGCAGAACAAAATCGAAAATTTCAAAAAAAACTCCCTGGTTCACAAGCTGTTGTTGTAATCCACCCCTAGAAAATTCGACCATCTATCAACCCCAAAGTTACAAATAGTTCCAACTGGGCCAACGATCGGGGGGCAAGCAAACTCTTCGTAGTCGAACTTGGTGTGTGCACCCTTCCACCAAGGCTGACCAACCACGCTGGGCCTTAAACTGGTGGTCCAACTTTGTCAGCCTTCCTTTAGTCCAGTGTCCACCAGGCAGGAAATATCCGGCGAGGTTTCTATGCCATATTATTTCACTCTCTGGTGAAATAGCTGGCTACGGCCGCAGCAGTTACACACACACACACACACACACACAAAACTACCACTTCTTCTGATGCATGTGTACACGGGAGCTTAACGTTGCGAATCATCCAGCCTTTGTTCACGAGTACAGGTCGTCCTTGGCTTACGACACGATCAATATTAGGATGCCGGGCAACCAACCCATATTTCTGACGGTCGCAGTGTCCCCTGGGGTGGGGGTGGGTTGTTCGGGTGGGGATGTCACACGATGCCCTTTTTTGCGACCTTCCGACAAGCCGGATCCGCTTTAACGGCCTGTCTGACTAACTTGACTCCTGCAGGGATCCCCTTAACAAACCCACAGCAAGAAACGGTCGCAAACTGGGCCGAAGCAAACTCTGGGACAAAGGGTCTTGCTTAGCGGGAACAAAAAAACGGGGCTCTGTGGTTATTGTAAGTCGAGGACGACCTCCACCCCGCCACCCGTGAAGCAGTCTGGGTTTTTTGAGTGTCAACTCCAGCCCTGTTTCCTCGGATCTTGCTTAGCCTTCCGAATGACGGCGGTCGGTCGTTAGCCGTGGGCCACACACTGAGATCTTCTTGTTTCTCTTTTCTCATGATTGATTCCCTGTCTTGGCAACTAATGCTTCCTGGCAGACTTTTTGGAATGGAATGGGTTGTGTTTTGCCGGTCCGTTTGATCGATTTAACCTGTTGTGTTTTGCCTTTTTTTTTTTTTTTTTTAAACGCCTCGCTGCAGAATGACACAAATAGGAAAACGCTCACCAGGAGCAACAGGCCTTCGGTGACTCTGGTGGACACACGGGATAGTAAGCCCCAGCCTGTTGACTCCTGGGTCTAACATTGTGCATGCATGGTAGGTTTGATTCTCCCCACCCCTTCCCCCCAATCGTTGGCAAAAGATGATTAACTTGTTCCCGTTTCTGCATGATTTTGCATCGTGGCTTGTTTTCTCTCTTTCTCTTTCTCTCTCTCTCTCTCCCTCTCTCTCTCCGTCGATCTGGCTCCTTTCGAGATAGAGGCAGGTGTAAAGAAGGCCTGGGTGGCTCAGGGAATGTTAGAATGCAGCATTGCAGGCTAACTATGCCCACACGCCAGCAGTTTGATCTTGACTGGCTCAAGGTTGACTCAGCCTCCCATCCTTCCGAGGTTGGTAAAATGAGGATCCAGATTGCTGGGGACAACAGGCTGACTCTGTAAACCGCTTAGAGCTGTAAAGGACTGTGAAACGGTATATAAGTCTAAGTGCTGTTGCTATTCCTTCCTTCCTTCCTTCCTTCCTTCCTTCCTTCCTTCCTTCCTTCCTTCC